AAAAATGGCACATTTTGAAATATGGTGTGCCAAGACTTGGCGCATGGTAAAGAGAAGTAGTAGACGTAGTTCCTGAAAATCGTTTCGAATATGAAAATAATTCTAAGTACTGTGTTAGACAAACAAACAAAATGAGATATCACTATTCGTATGCTTACCACTGTTATTACATTAAAATGTATATATTCAGAAATATCCCAACAATCTAGCAAGCATTTTATACATCTGTAAATTAAAAAAAATAGATTTCTCTTTTTCTGAGAAATAAAAATCAATAAAAGTCAAGAAAATAATATTGTGTTATAAATTTGCAATTTTCAACATTAGGTATTATTGCAATTGACTCATAAATTACGAATTTATATATTTATCGTAGATAAATAGTCATAAACTTGTAATTTTACAACAGTATAATATTTTTGAAAAAAGAACACAAAGGAGCTAGAAAAAAAGAACTCTAAATTGATAACAATCCACAAATTGGATTTAAACAAAGAAATCATAAAAACATGTTTATAAATTCTAATGAAATTTATGTTATTTATACAGTAATTATCTTTTTGTTTTACATAAAAATAGATAATTATATGCATTCCATTGCTTGTAAACTCGCTCAATTATCATTGATTTACATCAATAATCTATTATCGATTAATCGTTTAAACATAAAATATAAAAGTGAAGTTACTATATGAGGGTTCATGGTTCTTCATCGTGGTCATCTTGACTAATGACGTTAAAAATAAGAAAATATATACTCAAAATTCTTGCAAAATATATTAAAACAAGGTAATAAAAAAAATACGTCCATTTAATGGTACTTATAATTGATTGAGATCTGTATAATATTATGAAAATTTTCCTATTGTTCTCTAATAATTAAAAATTATCACAAAAATAACATATATGATTTACTTTTAATTTACGATTTATCATATCATATTAATTGTATTAATTTTTTTTGTCAGAACAAAATAAGTTTTCGAAATATATTTTACAAAGTCGCTCAATTATAGCTAAATATAGTTAAATTATAGTTAAACTTCTAATTATAATAAAATAGTTAATATAATAAACAATATTTATTTTATGAATATATATATATGAATATATATATATATATATATATATATATATATATATATATATATAT